GAAAATTTAGTTTGAGTCCACCCCATTTATTGATTCTTGATTTTAATTCTTGTGCTAAAGGAGTCTTATTTAAGGAAGTTGGGGCCTAATCCCACATGAGGGAGATTAGGGCCTACTTTTTCTTCTATTAGATGTAGAGTCTCTGGTTTAATTCCTAGGTCCTTGAGTTTTGTGCATGGTGAGAGTTGGGGGTTTAAGTGTTGGCTAGGATGGGGGGAAAAAAGTACACTCATACTTTGTTGGTGGAACTGCAAATTGGTGCAGCCAATATGGAAAGCAGTATGGAGATTTCTTGGAAAACTGGGAATGGAACCACCATTTGACCCAGCTATCCTTTTCCTTGATCTATACCCAGAAGACTTAAAAACAGCATACTACAGGGACACAGCCACATCGATGTTTATAGCAGCATAATTCACAATAGCTAAACTGTGGAACCAACCTAGATGCCCTTCAGTGGAGGAATGGATTAAAAAAATGTGCATATATACACAATGGAATAATACTCAGCAATAAAAGAGAATAAAATCATGGCATTTGTGGGTAAATGGATGGAGTTGGAGAAGATAATGCTAAGTGAAGTTAGCCAATCCCAAAAAGACAAATGCCAAATGTTTTCTCTGATGTAAGGCTACTGACTCATAGTGGGGTAGGGAGAGGGGAGCCTGGGAGGAATAGACAAACTCTAGATAGGGCAGAGCGGTGGGAGGGGAAGAAAGGGGGCAGGGGGTTAGCAAGGATGGTGGAATGTAATGGACATCATTATCCAAAGTACATGTATGAAGACATGAATTGGTATGAACATACTTTATATGCAAACAGAGATATGAAAAATTGTGCCCTATGTGTGTAATAAGAATTGCAATGCATCCTGATGTCATGTATTTAAAAAATAAAATCAATTAAAGAAAAAAAAACATGGAATATATCTTAATCTTAGCTTGTATATTATACATAAGTGTCCCTTTTGTAGTCTATTTAGCACCTATTTTTTTTTCTTTTTATCATTTTATTGGTCCAGTTTACTACTTAAAATGGATCCCAGGTATCCTGCAGAAGAACTGGCTTGTGTCTCCAAAAGCAAGGAAATTGTGATATCCCCCACCTGTGTTAGACAAGCCCATTCAGATGGGAGATACAGTGCCCTGACCCTCAGCTCAACATTAATGAGTTGAGCTGGAACATTAAGCTGGAAGTCTTCGAAGACAAACAAGCATAACACGAACTCATGTATTAGTCAGTTGACAAATGTGACCAGAGGTCCACACATAATTGTAAAGTAAATTTTCCAACTCAAAGAAATGATAAATATTTCACCTCTCCCTGAATTTCCCACTAGAGCAGTGATTCAGAATTCACTAATTCACTTTTAGTTTGAGGTAGGTAGTTCTGTAAAATCACAATGACAATCAACTAATCAACTGTATTTATCTCTCTGTAATCTTGCTCTCCTTAATTTCTTAAAGGCTTAGATGCTCAGGTATTTTTAAAATGTTGTCCTTTTCTAAGGACGTACATTCTCAATGGATGTAGTATTGCTGCCTAGGGACAAAAAGTGGTTCTTGGAGGAAAAACACTTTATTACCCTTTTTTATCCATAAAGCAGAGATCATGCACAAGTGCACACTCACACACACACACACACACACACACACACAGATATACAGTATATCAGTGGTGTCACAAGTTCACGTGGGTAATTAGAAAAAAAAGACTAAAAAGTTTTGAGGGCAATAATGAAAAAGAGATTCAGAAGCTCCGTCGTGGTGCATAGTGAATATTTAATAAGATGAAGCATCTGGAGTATTTATTAGAGTACAAAATACAGCATGTGCACTCAATGTTAGCTACATGAATAACATTAATAATATTATTTCCTCAATTCTATCCCTTTCCTTCATACACAAGCTTTTCCTAAACTGGAGTTTTTGGCCCCCTGAAGCATGACCACACATGTTCTCAGGCATGACTGAGAATTTCCTCTGAAATTTGTTGTCTTGTATTGCATTTTTAAGTTGATGATAATTGTAAAATGAATATTCCTAGCACAAAGAAATGATGAATGTTTAGGGTGATGGTTATACTGGTCATCCTGACCCAGTCATTACACATCATACACATGAGTTCAAATATCAGACTAACTCGTAAAGATGTTTGGTTATCATGTATCAATTAAGAATCATAAAAGGCAATAATTGTATACCCATTTGCCTTTATAATGGAGGCCTGCCACAAGATTCTATGGTCCAAGTTCCCCATCTTCTTGTGGACTGATAAGGAAGAAAGGAGTAGACTTTGAAATGTGATGATACTGTCAGCCCAAATGAAGGGCCACTGAGGTGTCATCTGTCATAGGAGAGAGTGCCTGCTGGGTAGCACAGGCATGCCCAAACCAAGAAACCTTGGCTTTAGCATCCAGTATTGTGTTTGAGTTTTGAAAGGCAAGTTTTCCTCAGCAAAATAACATCATCTCTCATGTTAAACCAGTGCTATTAATTTGAGTGTTATGGGTTGTATTGTTTGTCCTTATTCATCATTTTGTTTTGGTTTTCTGTTGAATCAGAACTAGAGCATATGGAGTTTATTTCTAGCATTCCATTTGTGCATTACTAAGCAATAATATAATTAAAATAATTTAAGTACATGTATTGGTGGTGTGCACTACTGTTTTCTGCCCTATTAAAGGGAGTGTTTGCATTGCTCGGCCTTGAAGAATAATGCAATGGACTCGTAGAAGTACAGAATATTAGAGCCATCAGGAATCATTTAGTGCAGCCACCTCCCCTACCAGATGTGGACACTGAGCCTCCAGGGGAGAAATGAAGGCTCAAGGTCAAAAAGCAAAGGAGAGGCAGACTGAGGTCAGAGACCAGGTGGATGTACTTCTAATTGGGTACCAGCCCCCCACCCCATGTCAGTCCGCCTCCAAAGGTGAACCATGGAAAATAAATGGCAACTCTGCCAGGCTTACAGAGGAAGGCTGGGAACAAACTAAGGAAAGTAAATAATGGATTTGTTTCAGAGCCACAAATCTCAATGTGTCAAGAGAGGAAAGGGCAGCCAGTTCTCTTCCCTGCTCAGGTGAAATTACACATGAGGTCAGATTGTTCCATAACTTTCAACAGAACAAAACAATTCTGAAGATTTTTAAATCTAAGCCCAGATGTACTTCTCTACTCTGAATTTAGGCTCTGAGCTCATTCCACCTCTCTAGAGTTGTATACTGTCTTACTCTGTTTGGGCTGCTGTAACAAAATGCCATAGACTGAGTGGCTTGGGAATAAGATTTTTTTTTCCTTAAAGTTTTGGATGCTGGAAAATCAAGATCAAGGAGGCAGTAGATTCATTGTTTTCTGAGGTTCATTTACAGCTGTCTTCTTGTTTCTTCACGTGACAGGTGAGGCACCAATCCTACCTGTGAGGGCTCCACTCTCATGACCTAATTTCCTCCCTAAGGCTCCACCTCCTGATACCATTTCAGTACATGGATTTCTAGGGACATAACCATTCTGTGCATTGGGTGCATGCACCACTGGGCAGAAAAGACCATTAGGAAATAGTGTTTCTCAGTTGCATATGAGAGTTCTGATCAACACTTGTGGTGTGAGGAGTTCAACTGAGATACAGTTACTAGGATGCAGCATTAGTTTTCTATTGCTGCATAACTTGGGGTACATTGTTATCCCACCATTTCTTTGGGTCAGAATTCTGGGCATGGATCCACTGGGTGTTTCCTGCAGGGCTCACAGAGGATTAGGCAAGGGATGTTCTCTCATCTGACCTTTGGAATCCTCTTCCCAGCTCACATGGTTGTTGGCAGAATTCATTTCCTTGTGGTAGTAGAACTCATTGTATTTGAGCTTCAAGGCCAGCGGGAGGGATCTCTCTCTAGATCCCCTTAAAGCATCCATCTAGTTCATCTAATCTCATTAGATTAATTAAGTCAGCTCTTTAGGGGATTTAATTACATCTGCAAAATCTTTTCAACTTTGCTATACTGTGTTGTATTGGTTAAAGGTCAATTAGTTACAGGTTATACCCACACTCAAGGAGGAGAAGATGATACAAGAACATGGGTGTCAGGGGATCATCTTTGAGTCTGCACATCACAGGCATTAGGTACTTTCCTTACTGGGCAGTGAATGGTGGTTCCTATTTACAGACTTTCATATGACATTTGGAGCACATTTATCAATAGTAACATGTATGATTATGTTAAAGCTTAGAGGAGCAGAAACTCACTGCTGATCTTAGGCAAGATTATTTAGACCAGAATGTCTCGCCCTCAGCACTACAGACATTTATGCTGAGTAATTCTTTCTCCAGGGTGCTGTCCTATGCATTCTAAGTCATTCAGCAGCACATCTGGCTACTGCCCTTCAGATGAGGTAGCACCTCTACCCCATTAATGACAACCAAATATGATGCCAGACATGTCAAGTGTCTCCGTGCCCAGAAAAATCATTCCCAGGTGAGAATCACTGTGTTAGAAAAATGAAGTGGTCTTGGTGGTTTTTAAAGAAGGAACTATTAAAACAGAATTTGTTTTTTAAGGTGATACAGCTCTATGGAGCCAACAGGCTCTTGCTTCTCCCATAATGCCTGATTCTTAGATTTGCTTATTTCCTTTACTGAGAAATGCATAGTTTATAGTTGCAAATAAAAAAAAAATAATGCAGGAGATGTGTTGTCCACATGTACTTTCTTACTCACGTGTATGCCAAAACAAGGTTACGTTATCATATTTGACTATGTTTTATAATCTTGTCTGAGTTTATAGTCAAGTCATATTATAGGAGAGCTTTGGTTCTGCTGTAACATGGGTCAGATATTTCCCCAAAGATTTTTTAACACATCAGACAAAAAGCTTAATAAACTCCATTCTTGGTATCACAGCTCCTTTCTTGGAAATGAGGGACGTGGCTTGATGTGGGGCTGTTGGAAGGCACGATCCAGGTCTGAAATTACAAAACTCAAAATCTCAATCCTCTTTTCTCTAGGCAAAGGCAGCTCAAGCATCTCATCCGACGTGAGTTCAAGTACAGATCACACGCCGACCAAAGCCCAGAAGAATGTGGCTACCAGTGAAGGTAGGCATCTGGTCTTCATTATCCCGCGCCTTCCCTTTATAAGGCTGGCTATTTTTGGAAGACAAAGAAAATGTGGGAGTTTTGTTCTATTCTGCTGAGTGGGAGCATATGAGGTTATTAAAAAGGAGAGGCAAAAAGGATCTCCCAAGTTTCTTTTTGGTTGCACTGTTGTTACTGCCAATCAAATTTGATGGGATAGGATTTCAGTGTCTCAGTTCTAAGGCAAATTCTGTAATTTTGTGAAACTCTAGCAGGTTGACTTAAGGGAAGACTTTATGATATTACATACCTGTTTTTCAGTATGGAAAACAATAGGCTTATAGAACCCTTGCACTACAGTTGGAAGCTCCTGCAAGAACTAGTAACATAGATGCATCTGTGATTTAGGATGCTATAATTGGAAGGTCATGGTCACGTAATTTGTAGAACTTGAATTAATCACCAACCTTTGGGAGTGGCAAAGGAGGTTTTTTTTTTTTTTTTTTTTTTTGATTATTTGAAGAATAAGTGAAATGTCGTGCCAGTCAGGACAAAGAGTGGTCCTATTGGTATTCTTGAGGACGAATTTGACTTCTTTGCTTGTAGAAATACCTGTGGGAATGGCACTGTTCCCAGTAGTGCAGAGGGTTAGGGTTACTACTTGATTGAGGAATCGTTTCTATGGCAGTTTTTAAGGGGAAGATTTACCCAGTGATAGACTCAGCTTCTTTTATTTTAATGTTAAACCCAACTGAATGACTTCTTTTCTGAAGAAGAGCTCTTTCTGAGCATAATCGCCCGGTGGTCCCGGGTCAACAGCAGTGCTTGACACTGATAGACTGGAATATCAGCTGATGAACTGACATCCAGTAGCACCTGCTTTTCTGAAGTGCACAGGATGTCAGGGGGCACATTTCCAGCTTCTCTTTCTGAGGTTCATTTCTGCTGCTTGAAAGCTGGAACGTGTGCTTGCAGGCTGGTGTTGGCCCAGGGAGCTCTGTGAATCCTCTTGATCTGTGTGAAAATCTATGAATTCATGATGATGGTTCACCTCTGTTAGCGTGTGTCTGCTCGTTGCATGTTTTTGGACATGGTGTGTTTCAGATACCACAGAACTACCTTCTTGGTCATTACTTATCCCCAGACCAATGCATAGGTTGTTTTTGCAAGTGGATTCTTTTCTCCTGCGTTTAAAACCTTAGCATTGTTGGATGGACATCACCAACCATTGTAAGGCAGAGAAACCAGAGAACTCCTCAGTGCATGCAGAGAAACCACAGGAAGCAATCCAATCTTAATCATCCGCCTCTGAGTTCAAATATGGGCATTAGGTTGTTCTTGAAATTGAGTCAGGGTCATGTGCAAATCTGCCTATTTGATTCTAGACTTTTGCTTGTGTTAGTTCCATTCTTAGGACCCAGAGTAGAAATCACTTCAGTCTCATTCACAGGGATCCTCTGTTGTCAGAAACGTGTTCCGTGAGATGATCATGTCTTCCTATCATTGTTATACAGAGACTTGTTTCGATGATTTCTCTGAGTGACCATGAAAACAGAAAGTTGAACATTTAAATAGTCTCTGTGTTTGTCTGATTTAAAGTTTTCATATCACTTTTGTTTTGTCCTTTCCAAAAATAGAAAATATATAACTTTATGAGCTTTGTTACAGAGTTGGGGACAGGTACTGTGGGACTTCTGCCTTTAAAATGTCTGCTTTTTATGTTTTTTGTTTGTTTGTTTTTTTAAAGTGCCAGCTCTATAAAGACTTTAAGTTTTCAGTTTTGTCTTTCTCTTAGGAAGAGGTATAGGCTCAGCTATTGTTTTATACATTTTGTGACATGTATTTATTTTTTGTCATTCTGAGGGTAGATTTGGGAGGAAAAAAACAGGAAACTATGATGTTCCTATGAAAAAGAATTTTTTTCCAAGTGCACTAAATTAATACAGAACTTCTTTCTAGATTTTAAGAGGAAGAGCCTCATCCATGTAAAAGATGCTGTACATTTCCTTATATCTTGAAAAATTAAAGAAGTGTTGACTTTTGCTCTTTGTGTGTGTGAATCCATTTTTCTACAAAATTTCAATTAATGAAAACTTATAATATTAAAAAATAAACTCAGGGTGAGCATTAATTAATGAAAATGTGTTTGAAGGGTGTTTCATGCATATCTTGTCTCATGGTAGGCTATTTTCAGGACAAAGCCAGAGCAGTCAGTGCTTTGATCCTCCTCTCAGGATAGGTGGTGCTGACAGCCCATTCACAGACCCCCACCGGGTGGATTTACCTGATGGTGTGTGTTTCTTCCTACAGCCAGCTAACCTCTGAATGCAAGACTGGCAAACACTATCTTCTCACACAAACTGCAGAAGAGCACTTTAGAAAGTGCACCTCTGATTCTCTTTCCACTGTTTTTGAGAACAATGTTTATAATCTTTCACATTAATAAAATGCTGGGTGAGCATGTAACTGGTTTTCTGGAAGCTGTTGGATTATGGTGATTTTCTTCAGTTCCTTGATCCTTGCCTGTATTTTCACCTCTGAATTCATCTGTATTGTTTTAAAGGTCTGCGTGATGTTGGTTTCTAAAAGTGATATGTATAATGAATAACATTTCATCTTCCTGCAGCCTTTGAAAACCAGGGCCATGCCTACAATACCTGGGTTGGAAGCACCATTAGTAGTGCTGGGCTTTGCCCAGATGGGAAGGATAGATTGGGAAGATACTATATTGGTTCTCTGGTTGTTGTTGTTGGTGGTGGTGGTGGTGGTAGTGGTGGTGTATGTGTGTGTATGGGTGAGTGTGCACACTAGAATCTGCACTCTACTGTGTAGGTAATGGGACAGATAATGTCCCTTACCAGAAAACATGTAGGCACCACTGTATTCAATGTGTACTGAAAAATAAAGTGAGGATATGGGGTAGAGTGATGGGAAGGGCACACACCTAACATGTGCTTAACCTGGCTTGTGGGTGTGAATGGAGATTAACTGCAGGTGGACATCAGCCATATTTCTGTGGTGAGGATAATGCTCTAAAATTGGATAGTGTTAATAGTTACACCACTAGGAAAATTTACTACAAATGTTGAATTGTACACATAAAAAGGGCTGTTGGAGGACCTGCCACTCTACCTGATCTTCAGACTTGTATCTAAATCATCACAAACTTGTCTTAGAAAATGCCCTCTCAGCTCTGGGAGATGACGACCAGTGGCTGGAAGACCAATTAGGGCTGAGGCTTGGCCAGTGCAAAGTGTGGTGCTATGGTGCTGCCAGCCCAAAATTTGCTCCTGAGTCACCCTGGCCGTGGGGCCAGAACTAGCCTGAGAGCAGTCACGAGTGAGTTCCTGCACTGGCATTCCCAGCCAGCACGGAGCTGACTCATCAGAGTATGTTCTCCCATAAAGTTTTGGAAGTCACGAGAGACTAGAGACACTCAGGGTTCCCAAACATATTTTTCTTGGCCTTTTCTAGCTACTCTCTATTCTGTGCTCAGATTTTGTGTTCTATCCCCCAACCCAATGGTAGAAGCCCCCTGTTGGTGATTCTAGCAAGTCAGTTTCTTGATAATGACTTAGGTTCCTCCTGTCTATCCAGTGTTCCAGCAAATTCACCCTGGGTCATAGGCTGTTCTTCTACAGGCAGTGGGCATAGTCGGTGATAAGATTGGATTTTAATCTATGAGAAAAGACCTACTGAAAGGGTTCTGTTCCAAAGTCTCATGCAAAACTTTTGTGCATCTTACTTTTGTGACTCTAAAAACCACACACTCCTTTTAAGGAATTGGCAGCCATCAAGGGCTTACTCCCTGATAAGTGGTATATGCTTTCTTTACAACCCATTATATTCCTTGTGACAGTCTGAGTTTCTGATTTCCTGACACTGTAGGGGGTTTGGGTTCAAGTGTAGAAAGCTGGAAATTTTCCATTTTTCCCAACGTAATCTGCGTTCCAACGTTGTAAGACACAGTTTAATTCTTTCCAGTTGTGTTGCTATTCTTTCTCTGACTTTTTTTTTTCCTTCAGTCTTTCTCTTTGGGAAATAATGGCCTTTGACCTTCAGCAGTGAAAGTCACAACCAGCCCCTGGTTGGGGTGGAGCTCCCGGCAGCCAGTCTTGAGCAGGATCAGTTGGATCGGGTTTAAATCCCGCTGAAGCTGAGAGATAGCCAGCTGAGCTTTGGCTTCTTTCATAGAACAGAGGGGTCTGAGGATATGGCTTGAAGGGTGGCATCTCAATAGCTCAGTCTTCTCTGGATCTGGGGGAAAGTGAAGCAGTTAATTCAAAGGTCAAATCCAAAGGTCAAACTGGCTGAGAAGAGTGTTTCCTTCAGCTGCTCTGCAAGCATACTCATGTTCAGACCCTGGAATCATTGGCCCCACAAGATATGTGAGCGACTGCTGCTTTTTAAATGTCATTATCAAGCCAGACAGCTATGGAGTCTCAAGAGTTTCAGAGCTACAAACGATCTTGCCAATGTTCTGATCTCATACGCCTATTTTACAAAGAAATGCTTGTGTCACAGAGAAATGGAGAGATTTGCTCAAGATTGCACACCTAAAATATCATTGAGCAGGAGTTTGATGTGGTGTTGTTGAGGGCTGATTGAATTAGGACAAGCTGTTGTTTCCTGTATGTGAAGATGTTGAATTCTCATTTGTCCTCTTAATTTCTAGCTGTCTATTTTGAGCTGGCTTCAGGGCTGAGGCTGGCCAGGTGGAAACCTTTGAGAAAGGTTGAACCCGTATAGATCAGTACTTCTGGTAGAAGGAAAGGGTCTGCTTCAGAAGATAAGAGGATCTCAACCTGCTTGAGTGTATTAGCTAGCTACCTGGAGAAGGAAACACCACCTCAATGCCCATTCCCCATTTACAAACAGGCCTTCAATAGATTTGCTTAATTTCATCTATAGTTGCCTGTTTAATTCCTATAAAGGTCATTTTAAGCTTTCATCAGAAGAGAATTGGTTTATAAAGAATGTGTAGTGACAGTTCTTTCCCTGGAAACTAAAATCACCAGTTT